TCAAGTGCTCAATGTCTTAAAGACGGTTAACTCAATGACTCAAGTTTTCAATGTCTTAAAGACAGTTAACTCAATGACTCAAGTGCTCAATGTCTTAAAGACGGTTAACTCAATGACTCAAGTTTTCAATGTCTTAAAGACAGTTAACTCAATGAATCAGGTGCTCAATGTCTTAAAGACGGTTAACTCAATGACTCAAGTTTTCAATGTCTTAAAGACGGTTAACTCAATGAATCAGGTGCTCAATGTCTTAAAGACGGTTAACTCAATGAATCAGGGGCTCAAGGTCTTAAAGACGGTTAACTCAATGACTCAAGTTTTCAATGTCTTAAAGACGGTTAACTCAATGACTCAAGTTTACAATGTCTTAAAGACAGTTAACTCAATGACTGAAGTGCTTAATGTCTTAAAGACGGTTAACTCAATGAATCAGGTGCTCAATGTCTTAAAGATGGTTAACTCAATGACTCAAGTTTTCAATGTCTTAAAGACGGTTAACTCAATGACTCAAGTTTTCAATGTCTTAAAGACGGTTAACTCAATGACTCAAGTTTTCAATGTCTTAAAGACGGTTAACTCAATGACTCAAGTTTTCAATGTCTTAAAGACAGTTAACTCAATGACTCAAGTGCTCAATGTCTTAAAGACGGTTAACTCAATGACTCAAGTTTTCAATGTCTTAAAGACAGTTAACTCAATGACTCAAGTTTTCAATGTCTTAAAGACAGTTAACTCAATGACTCAAGTTTTCAATGTCTTAAAGACAGTTAACTCAATGAATCAGGTGCTCAATGTCTTAAAGACGGTTAACTCAATGACTCAAGTTTTCAATGTCTTAAAGACAGTTAACTCAATGACTCAAGTTTTCAATGTCTTAAAGACAGTTAACTCAATGAATCAGGTGCTCAATGTCTTAAAGACGGTTAACTCAATGACTCAAGTTTTCAATGTCTTAAAGACGGTTAACTCAATGAATCAGGTGCTCAATGTCTTAAAGACGGTTAACTCAATGAATCAGGGGCTCAAGGTCTTAAAGACGGTTAACTCAATGACTCAAGTTTTCAATGTCTTAAAGACGGTTAACTCAATGACTCAAGTTTTCAATGTCTTAAAGACAGCTAACTCAATGACTGAAGTGCTTAATGTCTTAAAGACGGTTAACTCAATGAATCAGGTGCTCAATGTCTTAAAGATGGTTAACTCAATGACTCAAGTTTTCAATGTCTTAAAGATGGTTAACTCAATGAATCAGGTGCTCAATGTCATAAAGATGGTTAACTCAATGAATCAGGTGCTCAATGTCTTAAAGACGGTTAACTCAATGACTCAAGTTTTCAATGTCTTAAAGATAGTTAACTCAATGACTCAAGTTTTCAATGACTTAAAGACAGTTAACTCAATGAATCAGGTGCTCAATGTATTAAAGACGGTTAACTCAATGACTCAAGTTTTCAATGTCTTGGTTGGTTAACTCAATCATTCAATGTCTCAAATATGGTTAACTATACTTACGTTTTGCACAACGGTCTCCTTTCCAGCCAGGTTTGCAGAGACACTGACCAGTTTGGGGGTCACATTTAGCACCATTCTTGCAATCACATCGATTACGGCAGTAGGAACCATAATATCCCTCCGGACATTCTAAAAATACAAAAATATTCACATTAATTGTTTCTGGAAACCAACCTGTCACAAATTTATTTCCTCTATGTGGTAAAAGATGAGTTTTGAGTTGTCTGGTTGCTAGGATACAATATATATTCAGACAGCCATAACAATAAAATTCTATGAGGAGAGAGGATAATACAACAAATTGTTTTATTCTTGCTGTTAAGAATCCTTGCTTTTTTATGATGATTCAAAGGTTTGAGAAAGTCTCAAGATTTGCGCTACAAAGATTAATGATATCACTCATTTGATTCTAAACCCTGGAAATGTCAGATTTGTTCATGTACAATAGAGTTTTAAAGTAACCCTGTCTTTATAAGTGTGCATGCCCATACAACAACAAATGTTTACATATATAAAGCACATTTACCGATACATGTGTATACACTCCACATTGATCAATGTAAATGAATGTTTCAGTTTTTCGACACAATTTTGCCACCTGTTGTGATACAGACAAAATTGCTTCCTGGACTGAACTTGATCTAAGCTATCATATGGCATTACCACATCACTTTAAAACAGATGGGTACTGTGGCTGACGACTATATATGTTAATGCTTATTAAGCTAGTAAATTCAAACAGTTGTCATAATAATATGTTTCATTCATTCTTAAGGTTTTTTGTAATAATAAAGTACTGTTATGACTGTGAGCCCAGGACATGTGCAATGTTTAGGTTTTAAAACTGTGCATCATGGCATGTTAGTAAAGACCATGCAACAAGATAAACTAAAGAAAAAAAGAATTTATTATTTTGCCACAGACACCATATTTCTTCCATGAAAGGTCTTACATTTGTATTTCATTATTTTTACTAGAACTGTTCTACTTTCTATCTAGGCCCATCATAGTTCATGTAATAACCCAAATGTCAAAAGTAGACTTTGGAATAATAACAATATTAAAATTCATTAGAAAAACAAGAAATGTACAAAATGTTACTCACCATATTCACACTGTTGCCCATAGTAACCAGGTTGACAATCACAACATCCAGATACCCTATCACATCTTCCACCATTTTCACATACGCATTCTAACTGACAATTAGCACCATAGTAACCGCGCAAACATTCTGAAAACAAATAAATGTCAATTTTATTTTTATGTGCAAACAAAATCTGTTTTTTTATAGACATATGGCCTTTTTGACATATTGGCCTCAATAATTATCCTACTTTACCCCAATCCTGATTTCCCTACCTTGTTCACAAGTCGGTCCAGTCCATCCCAGACTGCATTTGCACACACCTGACTCCATATCTAAGATACCATTGTTACGACAAAACTTTTGTTTCAGACACCTTTCACCATACATACCAAGTGGACACTCTATAGAAATATAGAATAATAAAATATAAATGTTGGTCTGTCGGTCGATTAACACTTATTTGTTCTTGAAGAATTAATTGGTTGATATTAAATTTGAATATTTCTAGTAGTTTTCGATATCAATTATTAACAAATCAGTATTTGTTATTTAACTATAATAAAATATACTTGAGGTACAATTTCTAGTTTGATAAGATTCAAGTTATCTGTGGAAGTAAGTTCTCTCTGAATGTTGATAGTTGCCACCAGTGTACCAGTCTAACAGGGTGGTTTTATAATAGTAGCTAGGTATAACAAGCAGCCTCTCAGCTGAGATAACTCCGCTGTTAGCAATGCACATTTCAATTAAAGAACTGAAGACATCATTAGAAAATGAAAAATATGTATAGTATCAAAGCAATCGGACTTGCTGTTTTGAACAAGAGGTCAAAAATATCACTTTTTACAAAAAATGACAAAAATATTCACCAAAATTAGAGAATTGAAGATAACATCATGAAATGAACAAATCTAAGAAAGGTCTGCCCAAGGTACATGTACATCAAGTATCAAAGCATTCAGGCTTGTAGTTTTCAAGAAGAATTCGAAAAAGTAAAACATTGACACGGACGACGACGGACAATCACTCATATGATAAGCTCCGCTCGACAAAGTCGACAGCGGAGCTAAACAGTTGAGTTGAGTTTATTTGTGAGAAAATATAAAATTGTGGCACAAAATGAAATGTTGTGGCCCTGAAAATGTTTTTCACTTAATTTGTTATAAAATGTGAATTTTATTTTACTAATTTAAAAAAATAAACTTCATTTGAATTAATAAATAACTAAAATTGAACAGGTACAGTTTACAAGTCTTGTTACTTACCGTTATCACAGAATATTCCCATAAACCCTGATGGACATGTACATTTACCAGTCTGTTCATCACAAATACCACCGTTAACACACTCACATTTGTTATTACAATTGAGACCATATCGTCCGTCAGGACATGCTGAAAGACAATACAATACAATGGCTTCAAATGGAAAGATAGATGAAAAATGCTTCAGTTATTTAGATGTGTAAGTTAAAATAACAACTTTATTGCTGCATTCAATCACACTATACATGTATTACATTCCTTGCAAACAAAGAAGCTGAACACAGTCTGAAATGAACACTAGTGAGTTCTTCCACTAATTAACTAATTTACATAAGAATTTATAGAAATGTAGGTTTTTATTGCAATTGCACAAGTTTGTCAGAAAAGAGTTTTATTGTTATTTTACATGTTCATGCAGATTATTTTTGAATGAATTCTATTTTTCAGTGAAATTAAAACCCAGTGAATAATTACTGCATTCACAGTAATATAATATTTTGATATGCTAAACTGTTTCCAAAAAGAAATATTGGTATTTTTTTTAAAGAAATAATAACTATTGTAAAAGTTCACATCTAAAAGGTCATGTGTATGTACCAGTATGTGTTACCTTTAAGTTAATGTACAATTCAAATTCAGTTACATTTACCTTTATTGCATTTTGGTCCAATCCACCCAGGAAGACAAGTACATTCTCCTGTTATTGAATCACAATGACCACCATTTTCACATTCACATCTCAATTGGCAGTTGTTACCATAGTGATCAGAATGGCAATCTGAAACACACACAATAAATTAACAAAAGATTGCAAAAACAAGAATTTTGTATATATTTCACCTTATGCAACACAAAAGAATATCTCCCACCTAAATTGGAAATTTAAACTTTATTTGGCAGCAAGTGGGGGCATTGTTGGGACTAGTAATTTGAAGAGTGACATTAAAGAAAAAACACAAAAACTAGTAAGTAGTAATATAATTATCACCTTTATCACAGTTTTTCCCACGATATCCAGGCTTGCATTGGCACTCTCCAGTGATAGGGTTACACACAGTATTGAGACCACACTGACAGGATTCCTTGCAACCTTCACCCCATGTACCAGCACGACAAACTACAATCACATCAAAGTAACCCAATAAATCAAATATTGATAAGCAATACAGTGCAATACATCTGCTACATCTCCCTCTACAGTTGGGTTTTGATTGCTTTTGTATTTATGACACCAGCTTAAATATAGACGTCAGAAATTGTTATATAGCATGGTATAACTCTGTGATATTTAGTATAAAGTTAAACTTTGCCAATTTAAAGCTTCTATCTTCAATGGCACTTATTGGTGTATACTGTATTTACCCTATTAGTACTGTATTTACCCTATTAGTACTGTATTTACCCTATTAGTACTGTATTTATCCTATTAGTACTGTATTTACCCTATTCGTACTGTATTTACCCTATTCGTACTTATTTACCCTATTAGTACTGTATTTAGTACTGTATTTATCCTATTAGTACTGTATTTACCCTATTCGTACTGTATTTACCCTATTAGTACTGTATTTACCCTATTAGTACTGTATTTACCCTATTAGTACTGTATTTACCTTATTCGTACTGTATTTACCCTATTAGTACTGTATTTACCCTATTAGTACTGTATTTACCCTATTAGTACTGTATTTAGTACTGTATTTATCCTATTAGTACTGTATTTACCCTATTCATACTGTATTTACCCTATTCGTACTTATTTACCCTATTAGTACTGTATTTACCCTATTCGTACTGTATTTACCCTATTAGTACTGTATTTACCCTATTAGTACTGTATTTACCCTATTT